TGCAGGAGTCAGGAAAAACTGTGTCACAGTAAGGGTGGCCCAAATTTGGAATGGGCTCCCAAGGGAGGTGGTGCTCTCCCCTACCTTGGGGGTCTTTAAGAGAAGGCTGGATAGGCATCTGGCTGGGGTCATCTGACCCTAGTGCTCTTTCCTGTCCAGGCAGGTGGTCAGACTCAATGATCTGTCAAGGTCTCTTCTGACCCAAGCATCTATGAATCTATGAGTCCAACCCTGTGCTGCAGCTGGTGGGTGCTCAGAGGTGTGGTATGACCTAGCCCTGGGTCTGTGTCAGGTCTAGTTTCACCCCTGCGAGGCAGGGATGAGCTGTACTGCTGGGATCTTGCCGTTACAGACAGCCCAAGTTACACCATCCCTAGCAGAAAGCACAGAGATGATCTTAGTGCAGCTCCTCATTCCCCTGCCTGCATGGGGTCTTAGACATGGCTGTCAGGCTGCCTGGCAGCAGACCGACCGTACAGGCTGACGGAGCATCCTGCAGGCACAATCTTTTTTGGGAGGCAGCCTAGGACACTGGCCAGCCCCCAGTCCTGCACAGCACCAGCTTCCGACCAAGGTCGGAAGTGATTAAGCCTCAGCCGGCATCACAAGGTGGAGCAGAGCACGGTTCTGGTTTCAAAGCCTTTGGAGTCAAGAAAAAGCCACCCTTCACTGCAGCTCAGAGCTGAGCCTTTCCTCCCCGGGCTCCTAAACACAAGGCCGAGAATTGCTTAGAGCACTTTCATGCCTCACTTCAGGGACTGGAAAGTACCCACATCTACCCATGTACCTGATACATGTTTCCACCTGTTTCTCATTGCTCTTCTGGATTGGCAGAAATCTTTGCCCTTATACCATCTAGAAGCAAGTTAAGTGCCAAGAGACAGACTTTTAAGGGCGATTAGGTGCTTAAGTCCCATTCATTTTCAGTGGGAGTCAGGTGCTTACATACCCTTGTCCCAAAATACTAGGGTAAAAGAAGAATCTCCAACAAAGAATTGGTATGCAAGTGATCCTCGGATAAGACTGATCATAGGGACTAACCCTAACCATGAAAATAGCGTAGTTTTTGGACAGGCAGCTCTAGTTCATTAAAGCACCCAAATTTGGTTTCTTCTTAGCCATGCAAAATGGAGCAGGTAAGTGGCACAGCAGAGCAGCTGTGGCTTTTGAGAATAGTGTCTATCACATAATCTGATTCACAGACTTAAACAAAAATCACTTGATTTAATGGAAACAAAGTCATTGATCTAGTGACACACCTCTGTTTTGAAGCCCCCTTCAGAGCTATTTTATACCTTGGCAGAGAGACACACACACATACACACCCCACAGTTATCCTGGCACAACTTTCTAGTGCATTCACAACCTATTACTTAGGAGAAAGGAGGAGGAAATCAGGATGTTTAGGTCATTTGTTCTATCCCATTAGAATTGACAGAAACATCAATCTATGTTTATATTTGGTGCATGAAGTGCATCTACTTAATCCAACCCCATAATGGCAGTTGTCTGCCTAGCTTGCAGCCTGTATGGTCCATGCAGCTTTTGACAAGAAGCATCTAACCTCTCATTTAGTTTTTCAGCTTCCCTTCCAGTTTCATATAGTGACCCAAGCAGATACATTTCTCCCAGCAAATGCAGTGCACCTGGGAATGCATTCATGCACTTGTGCATGCATTAGCATGTGCCCCCCTTGTCTCCCACCACAGCCCCCCTGCAAGCAGGGGACTCACCCAGGTTCTGTAGCTAGGGCAGTCAGCTCTCAGGACAGGCTTTCAAAACAGTTCTTCTTCCTCTCAGAGAAGCTTCCCAGGCCCAATGAACAAATCAGCCCAAACCAGGGTAAGCAAGCAAGCAACCCAGAACCTGCTGCCATCCTTCAGGTAGTAGGAGAGGGGCCTCTCTGGTCCTAGACTCCTCTCCAGCAGTAGCATCTGTCCTGTCTCCCTACACTTCCCCCTCTGGAGTTTTTAAACCTTCTTCATGGCTTCTCATTAGCTGATACCAGCTCCAGCTGGCTCCCACTTGCTCAGCCCAGCAAACTATTATCTGCTCAGCACCTGGGTTTCAGCCCCCTTGAAGCCTGAGCAGCACCTCCTTACATAACCACCTATAAATAAAAATCAATCCTAAATGTCATCTGCCTCTCACATACTGTATGGTTTCTTAGTAAATGGTTCAAGAGTTACCCCTTTTACTGTGGACCTCACATATGTGAGCCATGTAATACAGACATTGCCTTGGTAGTGCTTTTGCTTGTTTCCAGAGACTTGGTGGGGGGGTTTTGGTAGCTCAGTTATGGAGCATAGTAAATCCAGACCTCAATGCATGTTTACAACTGCAATAACCACTTCAAAGCAGGTTGCCTTCAAACCTGTGTGTTGCTAATGGCCATAAGAGTCAGCCCAATCTGCCGTGCTTGGTAGCTATAGCAGGATTTACCTGGAAAGCATCTGAAGCATGCTTTATCTTGTTTAGTAGTGCCCAATCGATGTAGAGGAACAAAGCACTTTTGAATTAATGAAGCCAAGAGTAAGACGTGGCATCATTCTAAAAGCAGCCAGATCCCCTAGGGAGCCTTTTAGTGGGACTATTAATGCCCACTTTAACTGTGTTGTAAGCCACAAAAGCTGCAAGCTAATGGAGCACTCAGCTGCAGTGCGGGGGCCTTGCTTACCACTGCAAAACACTGGTGTAAATCGGAAGGAAAGCTGAATGTGATTGTAACACTCTTGGGTGCTCTTAGTGGTTTCACACATGCCTTCAGTGGGTTTGAAACATCCCCCCCACCCCATGTCCTCCTGAGTCAGCTGGTTTGCTGTTGCTCAACGCTGTACCATAAACGCTTCAATGCTAATTGTGATGGCATTCACAAGTATGTCTGAGATGCACCTGGATCTAGCAGTGTCCTTGTAGAAAGGCACTGGAGACGGGGCTTCTGCATTTTGGGACAGGACAGAGGGAAATGGCAAGCTGTTTCCCCTTCTGCCCTTAAACCCATGGCCACAACTCTGCACACATCCAAAGATGACAGAATTAGAGCTTCACTAAACAAGCTGTTCTTCCAGCCACTGAGCTCCAGGGATCAGCAGCAGGAATGTATTTGCAGGCTCACACTGGAGAAAACTTCAAGGTTTGGGGCTCTTCAGCCACTGGGGCAGTCCCTCCTGAGCAGCTGAGAAGGCCTACAGAAATGGAGCCTGGAGAGGAGACAGATTGGGTTTTGAGACCCATGAGCAGGTGCCTCGTGGTGGATGCCAGTACAAGGAAGCCATGAAGTGCATCTTGGCACTCTGGCTACTAATACATGTTGATTCTTTCACCTGGGAGAAACTAGATGATCATCCGTATTAGAAGACATACGGCAGGTGCATGGCTTCCACTCTTTAACTCTTTAGGGAGCCTCTGTATTGTTCAATAAGCAGTAGCCTGTGGAGAGGGTTTCCCAGGGCGCGCACACTGTTATTAACTGTGACATTAAACATACCACAGTGCCCAAGGAGCAGCCAGAGGCTCCCTTGTGCTGGCCACTCAATGGAGCAGTAGACAGTCCTTGCCCCAAACAGCTGACACTCAAATTGTTCCTCAGCCCCTTCCCGGTAGTTAATTTAGTAACTGTATCTGCTGCCAATTTTGCAGAACCTCGAGCAAATTTCCAACCTCGAGTACCTAACTCCGGAGCCTGGTGCTTCCACTTCCAAACAGGCAACTGCATGTAGCAGTCCAAGCCCACGCTCAGCAAGGCCCTCGCTTGCACACGGGCTTCTGCGTGTCTCTTTCTGCCTCTGATCCCAGCCAGCGTAAGAGTTATGCCTTGATGCAGTTTGGCAGTCTCAGTTGGAATGAACGTCTCCCGGTTGGAACAAGTCTGGGGCAGAGCTGGGAGTCCATCCCAAACCTAACACCCTGCAGCCCTTACCCACCAAACAGTGCTCCCTCATGTATGATGCAAAGAGCACGTCCTAGGGAAGAGCTACTTTACTTCACATGCACTATGCAGCTTGTGGAAGAAAACAATGTCTCTGGGACAGTAAAAATGAAACATGTTTGCTCCATTCTGTTTGCCTGGGGACAGACCTTGCATTTCTAAGTCTCTGTAGTGCCGTGTCTAAATGCCACCAGCATGGACACCTGTGGACAGCAGACTGTGTAATGCATGGGGCTAGTCCATTAAGAGGCAAAGCTGGAGGCTTCTTGTAGTCAGCTTGCCGTGGTACAGCACAAAACAAAGCTCCCTCGGCTAGGTCTGCGTGATCATAGCTGTAGCTACGGCTGCCGCACAGGTGTATCATTGGAGAAAGAGGAAAGCTACCATGAAGGCGAGTGCTTTAGAGGCCTGATGTGAGGGCAAGCGCATGCACATGTTGTATAACCCATTTCCCCGCAAAGGGTTCCCGGGACAGTTCTGCATCTGCTTTGTGCCAGCTGAAAGGCAGTGTTACAGAGGTATATTAGCCTGCTGTAGCAGTGCAGTATGGGGAGCTTGTCTCATGTATGGGGTTAGGACTAGCTCACACATACACACCCCTGCACACACACATTTAGCTGCCTGCCTGATCCTTCCCAGCGGGGCGAGTTTCAACCGTGGTGGGGTGATTTCTCCCTCTAGTGGCTGCTGCAAGATAACAACCTGCAAGCTGCAGCCAGGATGGTTGCCCCTGCACCTCTCCTGCCCCCTTCATCCTGCCTTCTGCATGACTTCAGATTAACAGGCTAACCACTCTTCTCCAGCTCAACTGAGGAAGTCTCGACCTTTGGTGCTGAAGTCCCTGGGTTCCCATGCCACTCATGACATGGGATGAATGGTGCTTAGACCATGCGGATCTGACCTAGCAAAAGGAGGGCTCTGGTGAGGCACTGGAAGGCAGGACCTTCTAAGAGTGCTGATACCTTGGGGAGGGGGAACAGCAATAGAATCTGCCAAACCCAAACTGACTGGAGTAGAAGATGGGAAATCTATCTCTATTGTATTTACTGGGCTCTCTCTCTCTTTTTCTCAGGTACGATGCGGGGAAGGACGGTTTCATTGACCTGATGGAACTGAAGCTAATGATGGAAAAACTTGGCGCCCCCCAGACGCACCTTGGGCTGAAGAACATGATTAAAGAGGTCGACGAAGACTTGGACAGCAAACTCAGCTTCCGGGAGGTAACTAGCTTTACCTAACAGGTGATCTCTGGGTGTGCCCTGTCCACTGATGACACCGTGCTCTTGCCTGGGGTAGGGGTGGGACCCTCTTCCACCACCTCACCTACAGAATCCTCCTAGTCCCCTACCAGCCTTGCTGTTGTCTTTCACATCCTCTCTCTTTACCTGCCCCGTGACACGAGTCTCCACTCTGCAGGTCGTCTGTGATCATATAGAAATGTTCAAATGGCTCTCCCGAAAGGGTCTGTCCCTGGTCTGACATCCCAGCCTCGGTCAGACTAAAGCTGGTGTGTTAAGGAGGAATGTAGTTGTCCAGCTCCAAAGCAGAGTGGTTCTACTTAGCTTAGTATTGGCAGGATTGAAAGAGTGCTGCAATTTGGGTCTGCATTCCCACAGTCCTCTGGAGCACTCCAGCACTGCTTGTGTGTCGTTGCTGATGTAGGGCACTGATGGATGTATTGTGTTAAAAACCCTCCTACATCACAGGAGGTTGCCGGCAGGTTGTGCCTTCCTCCGAGCCCCTTGCAGCACGATCCAGGTGCCTAATATGCTCCCTCCAGGGGCAAAAGCTGTTCTGAGTATGGCACTCACTTCCTTGAACAGTATTAGTGCCCAAGCATGTTGGTCTTTGGGCTGTTTTAAGAGGTCTCTGCAGATCAAATAATCCCCCTGCTCAAAGAGAAGTAAGACACCTGGCTTTAGTTTGCCTGTCGGCTAATGGGGATCACCCACAACTCAGGGAGCATTTGGGGCTGCCTTATCTCAGAGAGCAGATGCCCATACACAAGGCTGAGCTTGCTGGCATTTGTGCTCACTCACTCTCTTGCTGCAATTATATCAGCAGTTGCCTCTAAAATACTAATGTGCAGATGTGCAACAGACACACAGTGCCACTTGGTATCATGAATATTCATGTTGTTTGGGCCTAGAGTAGCTAAATATCATCATGATGCCCAGTGGCCCCATTATCAGTGCCTGAACTGCCAAGGTTTCTGTGCTACTCTGCAATCTTCTAACTGGTTCTCTTGTGCCTTAAACAACTGACCCGAAAGCTGCACGTGAGGCTAGGTCCAACAGCCAAGAAGGTGGGTGAACACCAAGGAATCCTCTTCTACTCTTAGCTCTGCCACTCAACAGCTGGGATGACTTGCCCAAGACATTTCACTCTGTGCCCCCTTTTCTCTGGTTAAAATGTTTGCTCTTCAAGGCAGAGACTCTTCCTACAACACATCTGCCCCACACCTGGCCCAGTGATGCCCTGATGTAGGTTAATAACAAGCAGGGGAGTGAGTCTGCCTTCAGGGAAACTCCACGTGGCCAAGTGAACCCCACAGTGAGTTTGTGCCTTTCCCTTTGTACAGTTTCTTCTGATTTTCCGCAAAGCCGCAGCAGGTGAACTGCAGGAGGACAGTGGTCTGCATGCCTTGGCGCGGCTCTCGGAGATAGATGTCTCCACTGAGGGTGTGAAAGGAGCCAAAAGCTTTTTCGAGGCCAAAGTAAGATTTTTAATGCATCATTTCCCTGCAACTTGGGAAAATTCCATGTTGGGACTGGGTTTTTATTTTTAAATGACAGGGAGTTAAGACATGTGGATGATTTTTATTGGCTTATTGGGGTAAGGAAGGGCAGCAAGTTGCATGCCAAGCCTAGCAAATGCTCCTGACCAGGCTAAACAGCTGTTCAAGCTCCTTTATATAAACCATGTGCTTCACTCTAATAGGGGTTTTACAAAGCCACTTGGAAGCCAACCCTCCCCACTGACACGTGTGCGTGTGCTGCCTGTCCAAGCCAATGGCAGCTGCCAGCGTAGGAGGCTCAAACTTGGCCCGTGGCCTGCAGAGCTGCTGCACATAGCATCTGCTCTTCCTGGGTTGCTTCATTTGAATTTGTTATGCTGGTGAATCTCAGCTGGAAGGGGAAAGGTGCCATGGTCTGGAGCATGCTGCTGATTTGCATGTGATAAGCCTAGACTGTCATTCGTGCATCAGCACCGCATGCTGTATTGGCAAAGTGACAGCTAGAAGCCTCAGTGTTAGGGTCTCATTCAGAGCCCAATACACTCAGTAGTGAGATCCCTTTTGATTTTAATGAGCTTCAGATTGAGCCCTTAAAAAAGTCACTCGGTGGGGTTGGGTCTTCTGATTTCACATGTGATTGGATTCCCAGGTCCAAGCAATCAATGATGCCAGCCGCTTCGAAGAGGAGATCAAAGCTGAGCAAGAGGAGAAGAAAAAGCAGGCAGAGGAGATGAAACAGAGAAAAGCGGCCTTCAAAGAATTGCAGTCCACGTTCAAGCAATGATCTCACAGGTGGGGGATCTCTCTGGAAAGGACCTCCCAGCACAGAGTCCCAGGGAGACACCGAGAAAACGCCATGTGGCAGATGTCTGCAATGAGTTGTGTAAGCGTCGATGGTTGAAGGGACCAATTGATAAACAGCAGCGTGTGAATCCGGAGTGGCTGGACCCCTTCAGGTGCAGGCTGCTGATGGGTTTGTTTACCACACTGCTTCCTTGCACTGTAAATACTGCAAGGGGAGACTCTGGCGCTCCCACTTCCCTGCATTGCCATTGGTCTTTAGCCTGTGTTATCTGTGATGATGTGTGTCCGCAAACTGGTTTGTGTGTGCGTGTGTGTGTGTATACAAGGGTGGTGGTAGGGGGAAATTGCTTGAAGCCAAATGCTTGATATGTGCTTTGTACTCTGGTGTGTGCTCTCTTGGTATAAGCACCTGAACGGTATAAGCACCCAGCCTTGAATGTACTGGACCCTGGACTAGCAGCTGCTGCCCACGCAGAAATGCCACCTGCCACTTTAATGTACACCATCTCCTGGAATCAGACATTCTGCACTTAATGCTTTAAATCAGTCACAGTAGCTGATACCTTTGTGTGGGAAGCACTGAGCAGAGGTAGAGCAGCCTCGTGGACCAAGCAGAGGGTGCCGGAGGAAAGGGAGCTCAGAGTTCTCATCCTGCCTCTGGCACCAATTCACTGTGTGGCCTTGGGTAAGGCACTTTAAACTGTCTCGGGCTTTCTGCCCCTATGGGGGTGGGAACAGGAGGGGGAGGTAGGATCCTACTCTTGTTCCTGTGGGGTTGAGGAGAAAATGGGTTTGGATTAGGTTAGATGCTTGGCACCTCATCTGCTGGTGTGTGCGAGCTCAGAGCTGGAGCCTGCAAGATGTGGAGAGCTCCCTGAGCTGCTGGGGGCTCCACGGGCAGTCAGCACATTGGAGCTGCTCAGCATATTGGCGGCCAAGCCCCAAGCACCATGTCTCGCTACAGAGAAACATCAGCGTGAAGCAGAAGGCAGAGCAAGGTGGCATCTCCAAGACTGGTTCAGAGGTTTTGTAGACAACAACCTACTTTGTCAGATACTGCTTATCATCTATGTGGCCTACAGAAGCTCTGGACCAGAGATCCCCTTAGATGCTGCCTTGCCCTACCTTCTGCCTGACTTCAGCCTAACTCCAGTGTGAGGATGGGAGACGGCCTAGCTCTGTAGATAGGGACACGTTCTTAAATAGATCAGTCCCATCCTTTTGGTCCCATCTTTTATTTAAAATAGAGAATCTGTATTGGCTCCAAGTCACCATGACACAAGTTGGGGCACTAGAGGTAGGTGCACTTGAGATAGGTGAAGCCAAGGGAAACAATGACACCTCAGATGCATCCCCACTTCAATGGCCCTGAATTCCTACTGTTTAGTTTAGGGATGGGTTCATTATCCTACTAGTTGTGGGCTGGACGATGCAGTCAGCGATAGCACAATCCCATGTCTGCAACATGCCCTGATGTCCCGTTCCCTGAACTGGGAAATCAGAATGAACTGCACTGGGAGAAGTAGTACAGGGACAGACAGGATGGCACATGTTCAGCCCTAGAAAATACAGGGACGCACAAATGCAGTAACACATGCAACTCGCCGAACGCAGCTACAGCTCTTTAAAAACCAATACCAATATTCAGGCTGGAAACGATGTCCCCCGCTCCACCCCAAAGTGCTTTTAATTTTTCTTTTCCTTTTGCATGCACTGTGATTTTGAAAAGACAGGGTCACACCCTAATCATTTGATTCAGTCCTTCCAGGTTTTGTAATGAAAACATAAAGCATAGCCAGGTATTGAACTGCACATATGACATGTCCAGCTGGAAAAAAGGGGTACCACATTTGCATCAAGTGATGTTTGTGATGGAAGCCAATAAACCTGTGTGAAGCTTGTGTGTACACATGGAAAGCCCTAGCCACTGTTAAAATTCAGATGAGGAAGTGGAGTGTGATACCAGATCTCAAGTATTGATGTGTACTCTGCTATTTGCAAAAAGATCTTTACCGCTGTTATGCAAAACCAACCAATTTCATATCCTCATGAAAAGATTAATGCTTGATTGCTTTTAGACTAACCCTTTATTTTGGTAAAAAAAATTAAGAAATCCCATTGGCGGATTTAGAAGTGTTATTATTTTTCATATTATAATCTGCAAAAAAAAAAAAAAGAAATTATATTAAATAGTTTCTTCCATTCTTCTACGGATTTTCTTTAGGAAAGGTTTATACAAGTGAATTCAATAATTTTTGGGGGTTTTTCAGAAGCTTTTTCCATTCACTGGTACATTGTTTTTTTTCTTAACTAAAATAAAAATTATATTTCCTATGTGTGCCGTGTGGTTGAATTAAGAATTTTGAATTAAGAGGGATGAAGCATATATCTGTTCCTTGAAATGTGAAGGTGCCCCCACCCACTATCTGAGATGCTGCCCTTACACAATATATGTGGCTGCAACTTGGCAGATAAAGTAGTTGAGAGTTTCAGTGCTATATAGTGAAGAAGCAGATGTGGACAACCTGACACCATCAGAAGCCCCTGTGTTAGCGATACAGGAAGGCCTGGCAAAGACTGTGTCACCAAAACGTGCACCATCCTGCCACATAGGAGCACATCGGCAGTCAGCAACTCATGCCCAACTCTTTCCCCTCTCTTTGCTCAAACAGTGGCTTCAAAGCTGGTTTTTTTCTGGAGTCAAAGCAGTAGGTGCCTTAAGGAGGAAACACAGCACTGTCACCAGCTGCCGATCAGCTGGGGCCTCCACCCGGGGTGCCCACAGTCCAAGCCAGGAAGTGGAGAGAAGAAGTAGGGTTAGACTCTCCCCTTGGTTACATACTGAACCCAAGGGGTGGGGAAAACATTGAAAAAAAGCCACTCGGGGGAACCAGGTAGGTAGCAATCCTGTAGAGTGGTCCTTAGCACAGAAGTCCTCACTCCCAGCTCCTATATCGATCCCTGCAGCCCTCTGTTAAGGAAAAGTCTCTGTGTGGCAAAGGATAGTTACATTGCAACAGGCATTTTTCAGGCTCGAAGCCCTGTCAAAGACCAGTTGCCTAGAAAAGAGATCCCCTGCCCGAAGCCTTTTAGGGATTTTCAGTGAGCTCTAACAGGATTCACTACACGACACCGAATGCAAACTAATGAGACCTGGGGCTGTACCTTGCGCAGGAGAAGGAAGAACAGAGGTGGAGGGGAAGTGAAAGCAAAGCAGGGAGCTGTGGGGTAGGAAGCAGAAGGGGGAGGACAGTGCTGAAGTGAGCGTGACAGTCTTGTCCTGTTGCTACCCAGTCACAGCATCCACCTCCATCCTGGGCAAGTGCACACACCGGTCAGGGGAGCTGCATGGGAACCTGAGGCAGCTCCCCTCCTACTAATCCGCTTCCTTAAGCCTATGCAAAGAAGCGATGGTCTCGAACACATGCACGCACCCACCATTGCTCAGTCCCCAGATCCGCCAGTCCAAAGACTTCTGCACACTGAATTTTATGCCTGTTAGTTTTACGGAAAGCTGAAGACAGTATTATGATTGATAATCTACACCATCCTCCCAGCACCCAGAGAACATCTCCTCATCCTTCCTGCGCTAAGCCCATAACATCTGCTTGTGCCAGAGTGCAGCTGCACTATGATGGCCATAGCACTGATTTCTGCAAACATGCCAGGGATGATTTGTAGGTCAGATGTGATAGGAAAGACAGACCCCCTGGGCTTTAATGCCAATCAATTTACAAGCAACACTTGCATGCTTATATATGTGAGGAAAGTCAATAAAAGTCAGCTGCATCTCCGGCAAACAGTGTGGATCTTGGTGGCAGGGAAGCTCTGGGAAACCTGAGCAGCTGGTTACACCATTTCCAGGATGTGGCTGAAAAATGGGTCCATAACCAAGGACTTGTTTGGCCTGCTGTGCAACACCTGTTAGCAAATAGCCTTGCTCCCAAGTGCCAGAGACATGCTCCTGACTCCTCCATTGTTGTGGGAGCTTGGTCGAGTTACTAGGAGGCAGTGGGGGGAAAACAGTCCTCGCAGCAGGCTGAGTTCAAGACTGGGCCATCGTAAGCTGATCTCTGTGGGGTCTTTTGCAGTGTCTACCACATGAAAGGAACTAAATCCAATACAGGAGGGGTGCGCCAAGACAGGAAACCTGAAAGCCCCTCCTTAGCTGATGCTCCACAGGAGCTCCTGGTTTTGTGTCAAAGTTCCCACGTGGGCTCGATGAGACTCAACAGTTTGGCACTGTGGCATGACGCGACCTAGGGGTGCCGTGAACTCCCCTAGCACCCCCTACCTACCGTGCCAAATCGGGTCTAATGCACCCTCGCTATCTCGCCCGCCTGTGCCTTCGTGGGCGCCTCCCGGCTTCTCCTGCGCTCTCGTAGCCCGCACCGGGGCCTGTCTCCCCGCGGCTCTCGTAGCCCGCACCGGGGCCTGTCTCCCCGCAATCACGCCCGCCTGCACTGGGGCATCCCACAATTGGGGCTCAGGTGGCTGTAGCCGTGCCTGGCTCCCAGACCCCCTTCTCAGGTCCTACACCCCACTAGGGCTCTTTACTGAGGCTCAGGTGGCCGTAGCCATGCCTGGCCCCCAATCCCCTCCTTGGGCCTTAACCTAAGCACCATCTGGGGTTTACAATTCCTGTACGGCTCAGGCGGCCTCAGCCTTACCTGGCCCCAATCCACTATGCCCCTTCTCAGGGCTAGGGTCAGTGCACCCCTAGACACGGTGGCCTCTCTGGCACCAGGGTCTCCACACCACTGTGGAGCCCCATGAGGCCTCCTCCAACCCCTTATAGCCTTACCCGGCCCCCTGGTGTTACACAACTACAAAACAGAAAACACAAAGCCTCTGGGCTACAACATAAATACCAGGCCACCCTGGCTAGCCTTCACACATCTCCCTAGCAGGGTTTTCTCCACCCAGTACCATCAAGCAGACACAGACCATCAAGCTTCTCTGGCCTGCCCACTCCCAGCAAAGCTCCCTCTTCCTCAACACACAATGGGCCTCAACCTGGCTTGTTTATAAAGGCCAGGCCCTGCCCCCTTCCGGTCAGCTGACCAGACTGGTTGTCTTGGCAACCCACACCTGTGCTGCCCTGGTGACTGGCAGCCAAGCCCACATTACTGCTTGTCAGTAGCAGGTACCTTAGTGCCCTGCTACAGGCACCCATCACACACCTACGCCTGCTCAGGATGCAGACACAAGCTACTCCTCTCCCTAAGACACGACAGCTGGTAGGTGTTTCAGACCAGGTGGCTGCACTGACAGCTGGGTATGAGGAGGGGCAGCAGCACCTCCATCTTCTTCTTTCACTTGCTTTGGGTGCCTTTTTCCAGGAGAAGCTTCATGGCGAAGAATCCAAAATGAAGGGAAGCATGTGCCCCCAGCATGGCATTAGGTGGCTTACTTGCCTCCTCTCCTTGGTCTTGCTACCAGCAAGTTTGGGGCAGGTCCCCATTCAGCGTGGTGGTCTCGTAGGTCCTTAACTCTCCCTAGGCATCGTATAAAGAGCGCAAGCGCCTCACTTTGGCATGAGGCCTCCCCAGAATGGGGGGATCCTTATGCAGCTGAGGTTGCAAGACTAACCCTTCACCCTGTCCTGCTTTGTAGATCTATCCCTAAATGGCCAACACCACTCCTTAGCCACAGAGATACCATATTCATGAGGAAAGTGATGGCAAGCACCTGGAACTGGCCCTGGTTTGTACATTCAAACCTTGACTCTAAACTGACCCCAGCGACAGCTGTGTTTGAGCTACTTCCAGCACAGGCACAGTGCACAGAATGGGTCCCAGGTCTTGAAATGCCAGCCCAACTCTCCATCCCCCAGATTTCAAATCAGATCCTTCAATCCTTTTAAAAAGCCAGGCGGTTTGCAAACTTGAGCTACATGACAACCTTATAAAAGCATCAGAAAGGTCAAGCAGTTTAAAAGCAGAAAAGCTACAGCCACATCACTCTAGTGACATTTACAGCAGAGGACACTGAAATAGCAATAAGGTCCCTTTACACTTCCATTTTAAGAAAACAAAGCAAAAGAGAGAGCCCCTCTTTCTCTCTGGGGCAGGTTCTCCCACCCTTGTTCATGCTCAAAACAACCTGACTTCCCTGCTGTCCCTTTGTAGTGTTCAATGCCATAGAGCTGGTAGGAGTAACAGAGCCCAGGCTCCAGGTACTGCACTGGCTTTGTGAACACAATCCAAGCACTGATCCTGTCGGGTATCAAAATCCAGGTGCCGTCCAGACAGAAGCGTCACCAAGGGGCTCCACTGTTAAGACTGTAGCAATGGGTGACCATGAAAACCCAAACTGGTCCAGGAAGATAATGAGCTTCAGGAATAAGACCTCTTTTGCATAATTACAATACCTTGCTCTTTTATCAGCAGCAGTTAAGCTTAACCTGCTCGTATTTCATTCGTCACACAAATGGACAAGCTGATGCACAGGGAAGCTTATATATACTAACCAATACTAACTTTATTAGACGCTCAGATGTGGTACAAGCCTCCACCGAATAGGGCTTAGTGAGCAACTTTGCTTTGTCTTTGATGGCATGAGGACCTCTATATGGCACAAAGGCATTGCCTGGTTCATCCATATTAGTTCACAGCACAGGGTAATCGCCCCCCAAGAACAACTGTGGTTTTTTTTCACTCCATGTTGAATGTAGCACTGACCACAAGAGACCATATTTTGGTGTCTGTAAGAGCACAAACATACCAGAGTCAATGGAAATCAATGCATCTCAGAGTCTTCTACTACCAACAGAAAAAAAATCCACTGAAAAGGCAAACAATTGTGCACTGCCCTTTAGCTGGAACCTGGCTTCAACCAACAGAAAGCCAGGAAAGACTCCTGTAGCAAAAACCCCAAATACAGAAGGCCCAATAGTCACTGTGGTCTATTCACGTGGCTCTGAATAATCTTACAAGAAACAGCCGATACATATAAAGCATATAACCAACTCAAGGCCGGTGGGGCAGGGGGAGTATTTGGCACAATCATACACACACTAGGGTGGACCCAGGCAGTGGCAACTAGCAGGAGCAAGATCTTTACAATGATACAATATTAGATTTGGCTCAGGAACGCTGTCACT